CCCCAAAACCCCAAAACCCCAAAACCCCATCATACCAAATGGAATAATAGAAAATATTCAGATAATTTAAGGCATTCATTTTAACAAAATCTAAATCTCTTATATCAATTTTAGTTAGAGGATTGATAAATTTATCATTGGTTACCACCTCCAAATTCTTTTCTCCATCTTCCGATCTCCTCATTGCTGATTTCTCTGAAGATTGGTGCAGGTGCTCCAATTTGATGGCCTGCCTTGAGAAGTTTAAGTATTCTCTCAGGGTGACCATTAATCTAACCTAATACGGTTTCATCATCCACTGTTCTTTCATGATTGAGCTACTCATAGACTTTTGCAGAAAAGCTTGGCATAAACGGCTCAAAAAGAGAGCAAAGTAGTCTCAAAGCGTTAAGTGCAGTATTGACGACTTAGCTACATCTTTCATTATTGTTTTACTTCTTAAGATCCCATGGCTTATTATCTTACATGTACACATTGCATAAACTTGAGAAATTCATGACGGTCTTCAAAGCATCCTTAATTTTAACATGTTCCATCTGTTCAACATAGAGTTGGAATTATGAGTAAATAGCTTCAATGAATTTACTATCATCTGCATGAATTTCACCTGAATAATCAGGAATCTTTTGATTAAGTGAACTTTAAACAAACTTTAACAGTCTGTTAGAGAAGTTACCTGGATTGGCTAGAAGTTCATTGTTATTCTTAGCTTAGAGGTCATTCCATAAGAAAACTGTATCTTAAGATTCTGGTCTGTTAATCAATAAATAGTATCTCCAAACTTCACTGGGGATTCCAGTCTTGATGGCATCATCTCCGAACACACCAGTTTATCTAGTTTTGGAGAACTTCTTTGGCTTTTTGGTCAAAGGATCAATTTCATAATTCAAGAATTCAGTAGTTGCAATATGATGAAGCATAGTGTATGGATCATGAGTTCCAACTAATGTGCATGGGAAGATTACAGTATGGAAGGTGATGTTGTCCTTTCCCATAAACTGATAGAGTTGCACATCGTCGTTATTTAACCACCATTTTTCCCAATTTTCTTCATTATAGTTTGCAGTGATTGAGAGATAACCAATTGGAGCATCAAACCACACATAGAATACTTTGTTGGAATATTCATCTAGAGGCACAGAGGTTCCCCATTTGAGGTCTCTTGTAATACATCTTCCCTTTAAACCCTCTTTAAGAAGAGCATTTGTGAATTAGATAGCATTTGAGGCCCATTATCCCTTAAGATGAGCTTTATCAAACCAAGCTTCATGCTGAGGTTGAATCTTTGCTAGATCAATGAAAATATGCTGAGATTATCTTATTTCTGGAGTTGAAGCACATACTTTACATTTAGGGTCAATAAGTTCATTGGCATTCAAGAGTTTTCCACATCCATCACATTGATCTCCTTTTGCATCATAGAAATTGCAAAGTGGACAGGTGCCTGCTACTAATCTATCAGCCAAGAATCTCTCACATTTAAGGCAGAATTGTTGATCGACAATTTCCTCATAGGTATACCCATTCTCATGAAGTCTCTTAAAGATATCTTATGCGATTTTAGTTTATTGTTTAGTGGTGGTTCTTCCAAAGTGATCAAAATCACAGTCAAACCATTCATAGATTCTTTTATGGATTTCAAAGTAATGGTCGCATATTTCTTTAGGAGTTTTCTTCTCTTCTAGAGCTTTAGTCTCAGTTGCAGTACCATACTCATCAGTACCACAAATATATAAGGTGTTGTATCCCATAAGTCTGGCATATCTGGCAAATACATCAGCTGATAGAACACAACCGATGATATTGCCCAAATGAGGCACATTGTTTACATATGGTAGTGCAGATGTAATTAAGATGTTTCTTTATTCTTTATTTGGCACTAAGTTTCTGTGGAAGTTAACTCTTTTAATTTTAGCATCAGATGTACAATACGTGACTTCTTTTTGATTCACAATCTATAGCAATATATTAAGTATATAGAAGAGATGATGAATTTTAGTCTTATTTCGAAATTAAGTGTATCTAAGATAATTATCTTCATTCACTTACTTTCTTTGGAGCAGCCTTCTCTTGTTCACTTCCCTTGTATTCCTCAGAGGTAGGAAGTTTATGGAGATCTCTAAATACTGGCATCTTTTTCTTGATGTCATTGTTGTTTTGTTGTTGGACTGGTTGAACGAATGAATAGAACAGAACTTGAAGGAAGAGACCTGATTGACCCGAGAACTTTCCATCCTCCTCAAACAGATCAGCATATAGGTTATCACTGATTTCCTTTAATTGTTTCTTCAACAACTCTTTAATAGCATTAGTCTTATCTGTCTAAAAGGCATGTACAGTTCCCTTAAGATGAGCATTAAGGTAATAAGCCCAGTGATCAAAAGATAAATCTTTTCCTAAAGTTAGCAATTGCTTACCCCCTGCTACATCAGCTTAACTAAGGGTTTTATTGTGTTAACTAACTAAGAAATCTGCTACATTAAGTTCACCATAAATAGTTGGGCCATTTTCTATTTGCAACTTAACATTGGTCACATCTATAAATATGAATGGTTAGTCTCATGTGTGGTCATATATTAGAATATCTCAAAATTTGGTTCTTACCTAGTGAGTTAACTGGGTTAGCAGAAGTTTATTTCTTGACTGGAACATCTACATTCAAGACTTTGAGAAGGTTCTCAATAAAGAATGAAGAGAGGTTTTGATTGACTATAGTAATCTTAGCCTTAATGGCTGAGGTCTGGCTAATATCTTTCTTTTACATTTTCTTGATTAATAATATCAAATAATGAATTATTAAAGTTTAAGTAATTAAAACAACCAAAGACTGATGATGAGAAGTTAATGCATTGGTTTTTGTAGTATTAGATTATTAAAATTTAAAAATGTCAATCTTTTATTGGTTGTTTTTGACACTCTATATCTCCTCACTCTTTGTGGCTCTAGCATTCATGGGCATCAATTGGAATAGAATCGATACAAAATTTAAAAGATCTCCTCAGAGACTACTCGTTCTCATATATATAGTCAACTTTGTCCTGCTTTACTACGGGTTCGGGATCCCTTTTTTGATCCAGTTGTTTATCAATATACTTGAGATAGTAGCAGTATTCTTTGGTTCATAGTTCCAAATCATTGGATTGACTGGTGGAATTGCTACTGGAAAGAGTACAGTCAGCAGTATTTTGTCTGAAATTGGATTTGATATAATCGACACAGATAAGATTTCTAGAGAGGTAAGTTAAATATCTAATAAATCTCAATATTTTAAGAGCGCAACTAAAGTCATAAAGTGTGACTTTAATTGTGCTTATGCTATAATTCGTCTTAAATGAGTGGCTTAATAAGTGTAAATTGTATAGTTAATGGACAATGACGTGGGATTGTAGCAAGCAGTAAAGAAAGCATTTGGACCCACTATTTTAGATGATAATGGAGTCATTGATAGGGATAAGTTAGGAGCTGTGGTATTTTCAGATGCTGAAAAGAGAAAGCTAATCAACAAATTAACCCATCCACGTATTTTTAGAAAAATTATTCAGAAAGTGATCTAATTAAAACTATTTTAACGAAAGCCACTTGTTGTTTTGGATGCTCCCTTACTCTTTGAAACAAAAATCCTTGAGTTCTTCTGTTATCCAATCATTACAGTTTATTGTGAAGATGGCTAAACTCAACTCAATAGACTAATGACGAGAAATAACTTAACTGAGGATGATGCAATGAGAAAAGTAAATGCTTAGATGCCAATCAGTATAAAAGTGAAGTAATCAGATATAATCGTAGAAAATGGTGGAAGTCTTGATGACTTGCATAAGTTCGTAGAGGATAGAGTAATCAAACTAATATACTAAAAACTTGGCTATATTGATAGTGCATTGTGAATAATTGTATTTATGCATATAAAATTGTTTATATTAATTAATCAATTATCATTAAATAGTACCTTCACCTTTTCATAGATAAGTTTGATTTTAGGGGTTTTGGGGTTTTGGGGTTTTGGGG